GCCCTCCGTGCGGGCGCTCTCCGACGCGCCCTTCCTGCCTTGCTGGAGCTGGCCGGAATCGACCTATTCCCCTTCGATGGAGCTGCGATGAGCCTCTCCCCTTTTAAAAGGCGCAAAGAACGAGGAGGACCCCCCCGAGAGGAAAAAAGGCCGGTCAAATTGGTAGCCTCCATTCTTGTGCCTCAAGTTTCTAGTTCTGTGTGAGGGGAGTCCCCACCGCCTCTTATTTCCAGGGCTTTTTTTTTAAGGACGCCGCCAGCCTTGTCTTTCCGAGGCAGCCTTTAAAAACCAAGAGGTCCTGGCTTCTTGAGACCCCGGTGGCCAACTTATTGGCTCCAGCCCTGCTCCGGTGCTCTCTAGCCACAGCTTCATCCTGCAGGCCCTCACGCTGGACTGAGCTGATCATCGCTAGGGGCTGAGGCCTCATCCGGTGAAGGTGCCGGGAAGTTTCTCTGCAAAGCCCGACTTCTTTTAAAGCAAGTTAAAATCGGTTCGGTTTTGGAGCTGGAGGGAGATCAGCAGTTCTGAGCTTTATATTAGCAGTTGGAGCCAAGTTGCTAAACTACAATTCCCAACAGGCCACGATGTTCGTTCAGTTTCTTGTGCAGCCCAGATGTTAGGCGGCGGCAGTCCTGCAGGGTCGCGGATGGAGACGCCCGAGGTGTCCTGCCCGAAACCGACAAAAATTGATGCAGCCGATTCTTTTCAGGACTGAAAAAAAATGCAATCGTGCTTCTGGGTTGGACCAAGAAGTTTCACCGGTTGATGCGTTCCTCTAGCAACCGTAGGGGTTAAAACGGGCGATGTTTTGCAACCCCTGTGAGATTTCTGCCTGTGACTGTTATCTTGAAATTGGGGAAGTCTTTATTTTTTGACGTAGCAGCGTTTGAATTACTTGTGGGAAGAGGTCACTGGCCTCCCGTGCGTTTCCAAAAATGCAAAGGATTTCTCGTACGATTTCTTAAGAACCCTCCCGCGGGATTCTTACAACGCAGCACATGCTCGTAAAAATCCATTTGAAAAACGTTTAGGTTGGCTTTAGCGTTATTGTTGCGTCAAAAGTAATTTGGGGCCCTTCTCTTTCCTTCGAAATAGGCCCCTTTGGGAGCAAAACCCAGAGAAATTGAGGAGCTGTCCAGCTCCGAAAAAGAAAAAATGAAGCAAATGGCCGTTCTCCGTTAATAGTTTCCACTCATTTATTTTCATTTCGATGCTTTGTGGAGAAATACAGTCATATTTGTCGTTTTTTTCCAATGTGTAGGAGCCAGGAGGGGTTAAACTTTTCATACCCCCTCTGCTATTTCTCAACTTGCTGCAAGACACATTCATCAACTGGATTGAGAAAAAGGAACCCCAAAACGACGTTCTAGTCCTTCCACCAAATTCCTTGGTGGAAAGTTTAGAAATCCTAGTTCAAAGGATTTGCCAGATGTTTGTGTTATGGATTGACTGCCAAATGTTTATGGTTGCAATATTGTCATTTTCTTTGAGGTTTGTGGCAGCTCAGTTAAGGGCAATGGCACATTTCTTGCCCGTTCCTTGCGCCGGGGTTCTTCGTGGGATAAACACGGTGCAACCGTTCAGAGCTTTCTGTTCTGTAGAAGGCTGTGGCAGTTGCAATGCGAGAAGTGAAAAAAACACATTTTGACAGATCTGGGAAACTGAAAAACTGGGCGGGGGGAGGTTGCTTTGAAAGAGAAGCTAAGTTCTCTGCTGAAAGTGAATAAAATTTCTCTCCGTCTTAGAACAGTGCTCGTTTTTGCAGCTCGTCTCTTTAAAGTTGCAGGACTCTGGAGTCATTTCTGGCAAATTAGCAACCAAGGCCTGAAAAATTATATTTAGCATTTGTTATCTAGACTGGCACAATTGCTGTTTTAAGATTTTGAATTCGGCCAGGGCAGTGTTTAGCACTTTAGAGTGCAAGATTTTTTTTTTCTATCCAGTTTTATACGAGTGTATGAAAGTAGGATGGGTTGAGTTGAAAAAAGGAGGATGTAGCCTGATTCAGTTCCTTCCTTGTGAGTTAAAATTATGTTTCAAGGGTTGCTGCTGTTCTCCTTGTCGAAAACAAAGCAGAGATAACTTGTTTTGAAAAAAATAAAGTTTTCATTGCATGAAACACTGTTTTGATTAGTTTTCAGTTACTTAGGGTAAATTGGTTTTGTGCAGAAAAATACCTTTATTTGTAGACCTGTATTTTTTAAGAGAGATTTTCCCCGCGGCTCTATTATTCTGTCTTCCAGCCTCACCACTAAATACATGCATGTTTCAGAAAGCAAAACTATTTTTACTAACTCCTTTGGGGTTTCCTACCCCCTTATGCTATTTTTTTTCTCACCAGAGAGCATGGGCTTTGGGATCCCCCTGCACCTGTTTGTACTTCTTCTTCCAAACAGTTCAAGCAAACAGTGTTTGCCACTAAATACCAGACTTCACTTTTGCATCTTCCTGAGCAAATACGGTTTGGTGCATTTCTGATGTTTGCTCTGTGGCCTCCACCAGATGGCACTGCTGAACAGTTTAAAGCCTTGGGGGCCTTAATCGGAGGCCTGGGGGGGACCATCCTATCTGGGAACAATGGGGTCTGTAGTCCCAGTACTTCTGGCTGGTATCTGTGCGAGAAACTTCGTGGTTTAGCTACTCTCATGAATCAGGTTCAACTGAAAGATAAACAGATATAAAGGAGGCCTTTTTACTAATGGAACTCCCTGCCGCAGGATGTCGGTCGCCCTCTTTGCTTTTCAAAAAAGCCTTAAATGGCAACAGGAGCCCCCATTTTACACATCCAATCCAGTTCTTGGTTCTCAAATCTGCCCAGTCCAGAAAACGAATTGCAGTTACCAAAAGTGGACCAATCAAATCTCAGGAAGATGTCAATTCTCTTTGTTGCTCTCCGTGGGCTTTCCGTCCTGAGGACTAGGGACTTGAGAAGTGTGTGTGTGTGTGGGTTTGTGTATTTTTTTTTTTGCAGGGTAGCAAAATGGCTGGTGGGGGTGTGCTTGATGGGCAAAAAAGCTTTAT